GGTAGCTTCTCCGGGTGTCAAGAATTGGTTTTGTTTTCTTTTCCAGATCCTTCCTATGCTCTGCCATTTCTACCAAAACCAGCATTATCACGTGTCTTTATTGATTCCGAGGATGTTATTGAAGTCGTATTAGGAGTATCAGTTCCCGCCACAATTTCGATATCAACAGAATGCTACGGTCGGATATATCGCTGTCGCCATCGCCATCGCCGTCCAGTCGCCGGTAATCCATTTCCCACGAGAGAGTTGAGGCGAGAAGGAGTAGGAAGATTTTGAAAGGTCTCCATTTCACGGGTTCCCCTCTTTTCATTCTCTTTTTTCCTTTTATTTCAATATCCTTTTTTTTTTTTTGGTTTTTCAATGCCACATCAGCCAATTTTAAAATCCTGTAATTTGCCTGTAAAGTCACTCCTGTACTCGTAGCACTACCCGCCTTAGGAAATTATTCAAGTGTCAAAGGTGCTGTTTGGAGATGCGTTTTTATCATTTAGCAAGAATTAATCTGGACAGTACACGTGGCAGCCTCTAGACCATTGGATGGAGGGTTGTTGGAAGACCATATATAAGTGTCTCTTTTCTTCTCTCTTCAATTGTTGTTCTCTTTTCTTCTCTCTTCAATTGTTGTTCATCTCCTCCTTCGTTTTTATTTTTTATTTTTTTTATTTTTAAGGTTAGTAAGATACTTAAAGTTTGTTTGAACTTTGAACCTCATATTTTGAGTTAAAAATTTTGGAATAGTGAATTTTTTGAGAGAGTGTGATTCAAAAGTAGTAAAAAGTTTTTGATTTACGTATAAAATTATTTTATCGAAAATGTGTAATTGAAAATAAGCGTGACAAAAATAATTGGTTTTTAAAAAATGGAGACCAAATAGGGGCTTAATGTTTTCTGGTGTAATCTATGGTGAGAAGGTTTGCAGAAAGATGCACGAACAATAACCTTGGTGGGTGTTAGGCTGATTTGGTGAAATCCGAGAGATTTCTAGCCCCTGTTTGGTATCAATTAAAATTTAGATTTTAATTTAAAACAAATTCAACAATTAATTTTAATTACATATTTCATCGATTTCACCACTTTTTATTCACACATTTTATCAACTTTTATCAAAACCTACAATTTTTTTTTTTATTTTAATCCCCGCTAGACAGTGGCTTGTGTATAACATAAAGTTGTATGAAATTGGCTTAACTTTCTATTGTTATCCACAATAGTTGGATGTTTGACATGAATTAGGTGTTAGAAGCTGTATCGAATCTTTGAAGATGTGTTATTTATTTCAATAATGCTGAACAAACAGGAAAAAAAACAGACTGATGTGGCAACATATGATTGAGTGTTTTTATGAGTTGTTTTCCTATTCTCTAATGAAAAATTGCCACATCAATCTGTTTTTTTGCTTTTTCTGTCATTGACCATGGCCATGTAACATGGTTCTATTTATTTTTTCTTTGCAATATTGGGCTTGTTCATAACATTTACTTAATTACTTGTTTATGCAATAATAAATTATTTATCAACAAAACCTGTGTAGGGACAAGTTACATTTTTATTTGTACTTTATCGATAAAGTAAATTTTTNCTTTTAATATATAGAAGATATGTATTTGCATACGAATTTTATCATTTAGAATAGTGTATACAAGAGAGCAATCATGAACATAAAATAAAGCATCGATGGCTCATATAAAAAGCGAGTTAGTAGATTGCACGAAGGCCCCCAATTTTTAAAATTTTCATATTTTTGCATTTGTTTATAAGATGAAAAAATATGTCAGAAATTAATAATTTGTTTAATACAAATGAATTTTGAGTTAGTAATATTAAAAAACATAAATAGTACAACAAATTTAATTTATCAAAGAAAATTTCATCAATAAGTAGATTAATTGAAATATAAAATTAAATTCTAACCAAAAATTTAGTTGGGAACAAAATAAAAGTATCAGCCTTTAGTAATATAAGAAAAATATAAAATATTTAAACTTATTTATTAGTAACTTAAATAAAAATATAAAATAGAGAAAGAATAAATTTAAGTGAATGATAACAATAATTTTCCGTTGTTTATTGAAGCAAAGCTCAATATTTTTTACGACATTACGATAATATTGTTGTCTATAATCGTTGACAAATGTGTGTCTGTGATCAATAATGATATCGTCATGACAATTTGTTTGAATCACCAATATATATTATTTCGATAGTTGTCGGTCTTTGATCACCAACTGAAATTTTTGTCGATGATCATTTGCTCCAGCAATTTTATTATTGTTTCGAAAATGCCAACTTGAGTCCCGAAACCCCAAATTACTCGAGATGCTTGTATTATGTGCTTGTATGATCGAAATTTGACTCGTTTCCCCATCTTTTCACGCTACTATGAATGTGGCTAAAATATATTCAAAATGAAGCATTTTAGTGGACCAAACTATGCGCGATTAGATCAAAAGTTAGATAATTGAATGCGTGTTTGAAAATATGAAAGGCGTCTAAATTGGATTACATGATTTGCGATTGAAGATGAGAATCTCGATAAAAAAAATGATTATATTGTATCGAAGAGTACCATATCATTTAAAGTATGCATATTTGATTATCAACCACAAAAAATGGAAGCTCAAGAAGAGTGGGTTGGATAAAATAAAGAGGGTAACTTGGATTTCATCGTTGATTTGAACCTCGAAATACTTACCATTGAAGGAGTAGCGAACAATAAAAAGTTGAAATTTTGTTTCGGAGACGACCAAGATCCACAAGTTCTGATATTAAAAACTTGGTTTTCATCCCTAGATTTATAATCATGCTCTCAAATAGTTACTAAACTTTGAAATGTCAATATTCAATCATTAAAATCTTCTTTTCATCCGTCCAAACAAATAGTGACGCTGATTTGGCTCATGGGATAATTATGTGGTGTCGCAATGGACATTAATGTTCCAACTTGAGAGTATTTTTCTTTGAACAAAGTTATTTTTTGTTGCACAATATCTATTTTTTGTTATTTTATTTTGTATATTCTGGTTGACCTTAAGTTATTTGAAAAGAGTCAACCGTGAATTCTTGGACAATGAATGTCAACAACAATGGCACACAAGCACGTCATTAGTCAAATCCAGTGTTTTAAAAGGCGTCGCTAAGGCACCTTCTAGACACGATGCGCGATGGAAACGACAAGCGAAGTGGCTTGGCGCCTTATTTGGCGGTCAAGAGCAATCGTTGACCGCCATGCGTGCCTAGGTGCGATTACGCGCTCCTTATTATTATTATTATTATTATTTAAAAAATTTTTAAATTAAAACTTAAAGGTTGATTTACACTTGAAACATATCTTTTTTGTTGAAAACTTTTGAAAAAATGTATAAATTTCTATAAATCTTTTTTAAATGTTTGATATATATTATTTTTAATTATTAAATGATTTTTTGATTGGTTAAAAATTAAAATAATATAAAAATAAGAAAACAACTCACTTAAGCTTGTTTAGCCCATGGCTTGACCTCAATGCATCGTCATGCATTACATCTTTTAAAACACTGGTCAAATGAGTCTCGCCATTAGTTTACTAGACATGATCGATTTTGGGGACTAATAGTTTGAACATATTTATAATTGATTAAACCACTTTTTATCCACATAAATAGTATATTTAACTCTTCAAATACACTTGTTTGGCACATATTTATAATTGATTAAACCACTTTTTATCCACATATTTTGTTGGATCCACAAGTACTATTCATCACTCATTTCTATTTATTTATAATTTAAACCAGTTATAAACAACTCCCAAATATACTTACCAAATTCACTCCCTATATAATACTTTCGTTAATTTTCTGTTCATTACCTCATTATTTAGTAATTACTTACTTCAACGTTTTACTTTTGCTTCTTCCATCATTGGGGGAAAATGAAGGGAAATGTTAAGCGTCGGTTTGGAAAATTTATAAATGATTTATAAAAATGAATACTAATGGATCCAACGAAATACATGAAGAATAATGAGTAATGATAATGAATGTGTGGTTTAAAATTAATTTAAAAATAGAATATGCTATTTAAAAATAGAAAGTCTATTGGAGATGCTCCCCTAATCTATATTGAGTTCAAACTTTTCGTGCAACCAGGAGCGTGTTTGGCTAAGATTGAAAAGTCTACTTGTAAATAAATTTACTTACGAGTAAAATTAAATTTTAAAATAAATATTTTTTATTAAATAGAAATGAACAAATAACAAATGTTACAATTTCATTTTTTATTACAACTATATCTACAAAAAATCGGATGCAAAGAGTAGCAACTCTTCTCCACGTGAATAAAAATGTGTCACCCTATTCTCGTACTCTCATGAACAAATTGTTGAACCAAATAATCTCCATTAAGCATTACGTCAAACCGAACCATTGGTGGCATGAATATTGAATTGAGCTCCTCAAGAAAATCATCCCCTTGAATATTGTACGAATAAAAATCGTTGGATTCGAAATGCGTTTTTACATCTTCAGGAATGCTGCTTTGTGGTGGATCCGACTCCAGTGGCGTGCCCGGGTACTCGCCTGCCAGGGTCATCTCCATCATTTCCTTAAACTTGGAAGACCGTAACAAAAGCCCTAGTGCTGATGTGGCAGTGGCGGCTCGTGGCTGAGATAAGGCGTCATCACTACTATCTAGAGGCGGTTGGAGGTGGTCGAGGGAGGCAGATGAGGCACTCAAGACGTGGTTTGAGGTTGGTGGTGATTAGTGTCAACGATAGGATTGGACTTGTTAGGGTCATTATTGTTAGGTTTTAACCAATTTATGTAACAACTAAGATCAAAATTTGTGACAGCGTTTAGTCCACGATATTCTATGGCTGCCATGTCGTAGGCAATTGCAGCTTCTTCTTGTGTAGCTACAAAGAAATTAATGATGTCATTATAAAAAATGGATTGGAAAATTTTAAAATAAGATGGCCACGAAGTTCTTAAAGATGAAAAGATAGGTTTTGGTTGGTTAATTATGCCACCTAATATTGGTTATCGTACAACAATAGTATCGACTAATTTTGTTTGCTATGCAGATAAGTTATCCGTTTTATCGAGAGTGAAGCACTTTTTTTAGATGAATAACTACCATAAGTCCCAAGATAGAGGTATCTGTTGCTGAAAACTCTGCCAATTCGAACTTCCCATCTCCCGTTGTGATGATGTCTGTGAGTTGAGAAAAAACTTCAAACTCAAGACACATAGATGTTAATCATTGCTTTAATTAAAATGTGTATTGTTTTTACGCAATTTTATTAATTTTCTAACCTTCATAGGTATTAATTAATTTCAAAAACTCAGCAATTATTCAATTAATTAATTTGAAGTTTATCAACCATTTTGTACCTTGCAACTCCTCTATATTTGGAGAAGGGTGGAGTGCACCTCCGAAAGGGGTAAAGCTTAATATTGATGGGCCTTATTTGATGATCAATGTAGCTATGGGACTGGGATAGTCCTCCGGGATACAACAGGACAAGACGACAACGGATTTTCTCAGCTAGTAAACCAAAGATGGGCAGGATGGATCCAATGGAGGTGGAGCTTTTAACGATGTTGAAGGGCTTACAGATTTGCTTACCTTTATCCATTCCAAATTTACAAGTAACGAGTGATTCTTTGTTGGTGGTCCAAGAAGTGACAAAAGCACATGATGAATCTGTCCCTATGGAGAAACTTGATACATAAGATTCGGCTGTTAATGAACAGATTCCCAACCTGCTACTTTGTGGTTTCTTCTCTATTGCCCTAACTTGCATTTTGTTATTATAAAGTGAAATAAATTTATCCTCTCTCTTTATTTCGAAATATTTTAAAATAATTAAATCCCTTTTGTCCAACTTCTTAATGGGGCATTTTTAGGATAAATCTTATAAATAATTGCAAACATTTTTTGTATGTAAAATTCCCGTCTTGTTCAAATTCTTAAAACCAACAATTTTTTGTTGAAGTGTTCCACAACGTTGTTAGAAGTGTCTTTTAAAGGTAGTTAACTTAAATTTATTCACTATTTAACTGAATTCTATAAAATTCGTGATCTAATCAGTACGAATAAAGGCATACGATAAGCTGTTTTTCATCGGGAAAAGAAAACTTTACGATTATTCACATAGGTTAGAAGAATCCTAAACCACCTAGTTACAAATCAATCTCATAGATGAATTTCTTCCACTACATTATTTTAAGATTTCTTCCACCTAATTGGGTTACCAAATCATTAAGAATTTAGACCATTAACTTTCCTAAGGATAAGAGTACAAGATTTCTCATTCTTCAATTATATGGGCCACCTAAACAAATCAAAATCAAACTTACTTTGGATGTAATAAAAGACTACCCATGATGCCATAATTCGGACACAACTA